CACCTTGTGTTTTCATTTAACGGTATGTATTGACTGATACTGTGTAATTAGCTAAAAGAGCTGCCTTATTTTTTCCAAATGGCTGTTTAAGATATGATTATTGCAAAAAAAAAAAAAAGGTCACTGAGGAACTTATTTTTAAGGCCCTAAAAATATTATGGCTCTGTGAGTACAGCTTTCGAAGGTAATATTTAGAAGTATGTGCTATCTCAAATGGTGTACTTATTACCAACAGCTGAACGGGCACTAATTCAGCCTAGGGCACAGCAGAGCGTCTGCTCATTCAGTAGCTTGTGGACATTGTCTTAAGAGCTTGTGGAAGCCAGTTTAGTTTCAGAGTTCGATGTTCTTGGCCTGGGTTATTGGAAATGTTGGGCTCTGCAGTGGCTCATGTAAAAGACGGGTAGACTAGAGGCCCCGTATTGGTGGGGGTTGTCTGCCCCAGACACTCACACGCTGGACTGCCTAGGGGATGGTCCTCAGGTAAGGCCTTTTGTTTGGCTTCTCAGGGAGATGTGAGCCACCTGCTTGGCTAAGATGCTTACTGACAGATTGTCAGTTCCACTGGAAATCTTCTTTTGAGGGTACCCAGGTAGAGAAACAGTTTTAAATATGTTGCTGGTTTTCTCAGCCTTGCAAAGGTGAATTTCTTTGGCCTTTCTATTGTTCTTGTACTGAGTTTGAAAAGAAATTCTTCCCTTCCAGAGTGTAGACACTATAATGTTGAAGTGTTGGTGGTGATGATAATTAATAGTAGCATTAACTGAGCACCTAGTAGAATGCCTGTCATACTGTAAAGTCTGCTACGTGAGTTATCACCTTTTTACGTACAGGGAAACTGAGGCTCATTTCATATGTTAAGTAATTTCTCTGAGGTCAAATAGCTAGTGAACAAAAGAGCTAGACTTGAACCTAGGTCTCTGACCCTGAAGTCTCTGCTGTTAACCACTGTGTCAACATACCAGTGACAGTTTGGAGAAAAAAACATGATCAAATGCATCTTTGGTTGGATCTGCTCCACACATTTCTTGTGTTGTTAATTGAGAATATTCTTCTGTTGCCTGCAGATTAAGATCTGATGTTCTCTTTGCAGCAGCTAGAATAGTTGCCCATGTTTTCTAGAGAAAGTTATTGTGAGACATGAAGTCATATTCTAGGGCAAAGAAAGCCTTTCCTTGGTGTACCAAGCAATGTTTATGTGATTGATCAGTCATCAACACCAAGAGAAGGTCCTGTCCTGTGACATGTGCGTGCTTGGCAATGATCTTGCTCTGCATTTTGCTTAATAATTTTCATTATTTTTAATTAAAGTTGAAGAAGTGCAGACTCCAGCTGAAATTAAGGTAGGTTGTGTTGCCGGAATCTGGTAATTACTTTAATTGATCACAAGATAGTTTCCTTGATCACCAATTAGACTAAATTGCCGATCATGTTTCAAGACGTGAAGAAATGCCCAAACTGATTTATGTAATAGTGTTTTCATTTCTAATCAGACATAAATATTGTTTCCTTTCTTAGCAATTGTATTTTATATAAAAAAAAGGGTTATAGGCCTACAAACATGAAGGTGATTCATAAACAATAGAGTTCTAATTCATTGAATTAGTAAAGGAAGTATTTAGAGGCTTAATGGAGATTGTACTGGGGAAATTACTTTGGAGTTGCTGGTGCTCATTTTCTTAGTGGGAGATGTGTTCTTTTTTAGTGTGTAATTAAAATAGTCTATAATCAAAATATAAAAGGCAGCTGACTTAAAGAACATATCAAAGAGAATTGCTCTGAGTAATGACAGATTCATATTGGAAATATGTGCTAGAAGTTAAGTCTTAGAACTTTAATAAATCATACATGTTATTTGGACTAAAGCTGTGTTTTAAATTCAGGGTGCTGTTAAACATTTCACAGATCAATACGGGGTTTTGTTTCGGTTTTGTGCATCTGATAGTCTTTCATATTTTCATGGAGTAAACTGAAACAAAAGGAACTTTAAGAAAAATTAAGGTTCCCAAAGAATACTTGATTTGGGGGTTCATGGAAAAATCTTTTAATTGCTGATGGTTTGGAGATTTCCAAATGACAAACTTCATTGGCCCGATTTACTGTGATTGTAATGCTTACATTCCTTAAAATGGCAGAGTGACTTAAAAAGTCATACTTCATCATGCATTCATGGACTTGTTCATAAAACGTTTGTAATTTGCAATAGAGGAAAGACTGAAACCATTATCAGCCATTATATGCTATTTGTTGGACATATGTTTGTTTGAAATGGCCGTGGCTCAACAGAATATGGCTCATAGACAAACTATGCTGTAAATTGGCACTAAAAACCCACCTAAACAGGTAGGCATATGTTAAGAAGTTAATGTGAGCCAAAATATTTTAATACGAACCAGGTTACATACATTGCAGGATCCCAGTTCCGTTTACAGTGAGACCTTCATTTGCATGGTTTCCTCATTTTTTCCCTAGCCAGCTTTAAAAATAGGTCATGTATATATTGATTCAAAAGTTAAAAGGTACCAAAGAGTATAGTAAGCCTCTTCCTCTTCCTATTTCTGATTCTCAACCATCCAGTTCTCCCTCTGCCCAACCCCCATCACTCACTGTTACCAGATCCTTATGTATATCATTCCAGATATATTAATTCACGTGGTTTCTTTTCTTTTTATACAACTTATAGACTATTGTTATCCATTTTTTTCTTATTTAGTAATATATCTTGGAGGTATTTCTAGTCAGAGGATAAATAGTTTTCTCCTTCTTCTTAATGGCTGCATAGTATTCCAGTGAATAAGTGTACCATAAAATATAGTTTAATCTGTTCTTTATTGATGGACATTTGGCTCTTTCAAGCCTGTCACTGCTAAAGACTGTGCTGCAGTGACCATCCTTGTAATTTATGTATGGGTATGTCTGCAGGAAAAATCCCTAGAAATGGAATTGCTTGGCTGAAAGGCATAGTCATATCTTCCTAAGGGCATAGGCATTTTTAATTTTGATCCTGTTGTGTTCTCTTCCATAGTGATTATTATATTAATTTATTTTCACCAAAAATGTATGGAAGTGCCTTTTCTCCTGTACCTTCACTAACAGAATATTATCAAACTTCTTGATCTTTGCCAAACAATAGATTTAACTTAGTTCCCCACACCCTGACTTGTTGAGATAAAATTGACAAATAACTTAGTTTTAGTTTGTACTTCTATATATGAGATTAAGCAATTTTTATGTTTAAAAACTATTTGATTTCTTTTCTATTAGCTATTATGTCCTTAACCATTTAAAAAAAAATTGCATGTTTGGTCTTTTTCTTATTCGTCAGATCTCTTTACATGCTGAGGAAATGTGTACTGTAAATAAAGTTTGTTGTTTGTCTTTTATTTTATTTATTTATTTTTTAAACACTTATTTGCATATTTATTTGGCTGTGCTGGGTCTCAGTTGCAGCATGTGGGATCTAGTTCCCTGACCCAGGTATCGAACTTGGGCCCCCTGCATTGAGAACATGGACTCTGAGCCCCTGGACCACCAGGGAAGTCCCTGTTTGTCTTTTAATTTGTTGATTTTTATTGTCATACAGAAAAATGTTTAATGTAGTAAGTTTTATCTTTTTTTTAAGTAGTGGTTTAAAGTTTTCTGCATGTAGAATTTATATGTTTCTTCTTAAGTTTTACTCCTAGATAATTTTTGGTGCCATTTTAGGTGGGAACTTTTCTTACAGTATATTTTCTAATTCATTGTTTTTATAAGAAGACTATTGACTTTTGTAGGGGTGGGGGGCTTGTTTATTTTCTACTTCAATGGGAATTCTCAGTGTTTCCTTGTTAAGAAAGATGTTGCCTTTTGAACTGAGAATATATTCTCTCATTTAAAGAGGAGCCCATATGTTTTTACTTCATTAAGAGTTTTCATGCATAAAAATATTGAATTTATCAAATATCATTTTAGAATTTATAGAAGTCATATATAATTTTTCTCTTTTGATTTATTAATATGGTAAATTATATGAACAAGTCCCTGGTATTGAACTATCCTTGCATTCTTGGAGTAAATCCTATTTGCTCATGGTGTTTTGTTCCTGTATACTCGAAGTTTTATTTATTAGGATTTCAATTAATATGAAATCTACAGTTTCATTATTATGTACTGTCTATATGAGAATTTGGAGACAATGTTATTATAGTTCAGGGAAGTAATTTGGAAATATCCTTCTTTTTCTTTGCTCTGGAATAGTTTAATCAGTATTAGAGTTAACTGTTTCATATAGGTCTGGTGGAATTCCTCTGTGAAATGATTGGGAAGTGTTATTTTTGCGTGTCACTCTTAGGCACATTTCTCTTTTACAGTTATTTAATTATTTATTTTTTTTCTCTTCTAGAGTCAGTTTTGATCATTTTTACCTCTTAGAGAACTATCTTATTTATGTTTTAAAGTTTATTTGTATCAACTTTGTTTAAAAATCATTTTTTGTATGTTTTAAAATTTTTCTTGTAATTGTAGTTACTTCCCCATTTTCATCCCTTTACCATAGTTTTTTTTTTTTACCATACAGTTTTAGTACATATTATTTTTTAGTTCTAGTGCTTATGTTTTACACCTTTAAATATACATATATCTTTAACATTTGATATTTCAGCTTTTAAAGATTTTTTTAAACTTTCATTTACCTTCCCTATTTCTATTTCCTTCAGCTCTTTTAAATATTTATTTATTTATTTGGCTATGTTGGGTCTTAGCTGTGGCATGCGGGGTCTTTCGTTGTGTTGCACGGGCTCCAGGGTGTATGGACTTAATGCTCCATGACATGTGGGGTCTTAGTTCCCAGACCAGGGGTTGAATCAGTGTCCCCTGCATTGCAAGGCAGATTCTTAACCACTGGACCACCAGGGAATTCCTTTTACTCTTTGAATAGTTTATAACATTTATATTTTATTCAGTAAGTATAAACCCCAACAGTTGTTTTAAATATATTTCTAGAGCTGAGTGAATTTATTAGTCATTGCCAGTACTTCTGGTATAGTTTCTCCATTAATCTTTTAGTTACATGTATTTCATCCTTTAATAAAAATTTCCTCAAGAAGGGTGAATGGAAATTATTCCCTAAGTTGCTGCATTTAAAAAACGTATGTCCTCTGCATTAATTTCAAACAACGGTTTAGCTGGGTATAAAATTCTTCACACTTTGATTTCCTAAAGTCGTTACAGGCATTGCTCCTCTGGCGTGTATGCTGAATGTTGATATGTGGAAGTTTAAAAGTCAGTAAGATTCTTTTCATCATTATAGGTGAATTGCTCTTTTTGACTGGATGCCAAGAGGATTTTTTAAATCTTCATAGTTCATTAACTTTACTAGAATGTATGGAAATGGATGAATTCTTAGTCTATAGATTTAAATCTTTTCTTTCTGGAAGTTTTTCTTGAATTAAATCTCCAGGGTTTTTTTCCTTTCTTCCTTTTTTTTTTTTTAAAGTTCTTTTATTGACAACAATTATCTATAAGTTAAATGTACTTCATTTTCTGTACTTACTGTTTTTTAGTTCTTATAAACTCATGTTGATTTCTACTTCATTTGTCCATTTTCTCAGTCCTGTTCTCTAAACTTATTAGTTGCTGGTGTCTATTCTGCCTTGGGCTGTTAGCAACTTTCTTTGATGGAATGGTTTTAGAAAGCCTGTGCATATAGCTCACTCAAGGCCTTTAGATTCCAACTGGCATCCTGGTAACAAGTAGCTAGGGCTATAAAAATAAATCTTTGAAAGAACGGACAGATACTTTTCACGATTTGCCAAGTTTGCTGTTTAGTCATATTCCTGCTTTATTATTTTCCGGAGAATCAGAATCCCCCTCTGAGGTTCTGCTTTTTCCCTCTCCTGGCATACTCATCTAACTTCCTTGCAGAAATTCTTTTACTTTAATTTGAATGTGTACTGTTATAGATGTTTTTAATTTGTAGATTTAAAAATAAATATTTGGAGGATTATTCGGTTCTGTTATAAGGAAGAAAGATTATGGAATTATCTTTTTGCTCCCAGAGTAGATTGAATATTCTTTTCCTAAGGAAGAATTAGGAGTAAATCCTGTGTAAATAGTTTATTAGGCTTTGTGATGTTTTATTGAATGTAAATATTAGGTGACAGTTGAAGGGAAATATGCAAAAGCAAGGAAAATACAAATTTGGAGGATCTTTGGATGTGCTTTTTTTTCTTTTAAGCATTGTATGTAGATAGGGTAGATGCTTTTTCTTTGATCAGTGTACCTTTAATGATATGGCTGTTCTCTTATAAGTCATATTTTTGATGGAATAAATTTTGCTACTATGCTGATAGCATGCTGGGTGGTCAAAGATTTAAGGATTTACACTTTGTACCATGTTCAGATCAGACACTCATTCAGTCCATTTGACTCTTGGGCAATGTTAAAGTATTCTAAGCATCACTTTGGACCCTTTTGGATAGCTTTGTTCAAAGAAATTGTGGCCACAGGGCTTAAAAAGTTGGACAGTGACTCACTGTGGCCACCTGATTTCTTGTTATTTACTTGTTTTCCCCAATCAGTGTGCCTCAGAATGTTATCCCACAGTGTATTATTTGTCTGATATATGTGTGTCAGTTTCTGTTAAAGGCCCATGGGAAAAGGAGAGGCCCATTTTTCCTAGAGACAGCAACTAGAATCTTAGATTCTCAAGACCACGGGAGGGCTTTTTACTTATCGCTATGTTTTGTAAGGTTTGTGGTATGCAGTTTGGCCAGAAGCTGTAGTGGTGGCATTGTGTGTGTTAGTAATCTCACTCTGTGCCAGGTGCTGTGCTGAGTGCTTTTATATCCCCCATCTCTTTTTTAAAAAATTAAATTACTTGAGCTTTTTATTATTATCCCCATTTTACTGATAAGAAAATTGAGGCTCAGAGTTAAATCACATGACAGTTGAGTAATAGAATTGGGATTTGAGTCCCTGGCTCCCTGGCTCAAAAATCCATGTCCTTAATGTCTGTATTACTCTCAGGGGTGGTGATGTGATTATAAATCTTCTAAAGCTAAATGAGAATAAGGCATTAGAAGCAAGCAGAGTTAAAATTCTCATAATAATTTAGTACAGGTTTACTCTGTTTGAATAGTTAAAACCAACTTTCTCATTTGACTTGTCTCTTCCCCTCACATAATCTAGAGAATCAGATTGAAATAAGAAGGGGTGGGAGAGTGAATATTGTTTTCCCACTGATAATTCCATGCATGGTTAAGTGGATTTTTCTTGAACTTCCTTCCTTTTCCTAGTAGGGAAAACCTTCAGGCATTAAGTGTCAAAATGGAAATCTTTATCCTGAATGAACTTGATTGTGAGATAAGAACCATTATGAATGACAGAACTGTTTGAAAATGACATCTTCCATATTTCTGTTAACTTGGAAATGTGCTCTTATGTCATTTGGTGATTCAAAAAACATAGCCCAACTAACATCAGATTGGTTTTTCTGGATAGGGGTAAAGAAGTTAAATATTTATATGGCTGTAATGGGTACTGCCCTGTGAATTCCACTGTAACTTTATAATTAATGTGCCATTACCTTAGAGTCTTACCAAGTATTTCTGCCTTCTGGACACGAAAGAGACAAACTATTCTATTGTTTGCAATTACCCTCATAAAAATTTGAAAGCAAGCAAAAAAAAAAAGTTTTTCTTTCCTCTTAGGACAGGTTTGCCTTCTGCTTGACAAAATTCGGTTTGCACTTTCCCAGCGGTGTGAAGTCAGTGCACTGCAGGTCCCCACTCAGGCCTGTGGATGGTTCTGCAGCTGTCTGCCCCAAGCAGAGTGTTTTCTCTTCGAAATGGCAGTGCTGGACGGTAGCGAGAAGATCCCAAGCGGGCACGCCCTTCTTTTCTGTTCCACTCTGGGTGTCAGTGAAAATAGTCTCTCATCCCTTTCCGTCCTGCCTGGGGGATGGGATGGTGGTTCACTTCTACCAGAGCTTTCACTTAAGACACATTCTCACATTTTCCCATAGTCTTTGTGGTCAATACCTTAGCAACCCAGTCACTAAAAACAAAAGGAGCAGTGCTGCAGGAAAAGTGACTGCTAAGATGTGGGGCGAGGTAGTGAGAGCCAGGACACTGAGTTGAAGGGAAATTATTCCCTGTTTTATAGAGTCTCGTCCTGAGGACAGTTAAACAGTCCAGACAGGTCACTGGGTGAGACCACTTTCCCGGTTTGTTTATTTGAGCCTGAGTGTTTTTCACCATATAGCAGCAGGTCACAGTCCTGCTACACTGCTACCCCACCTCTGTGGAGAGCAGTCCCTTTTATTATTGATTCTCCAGGCTTTCCTAACCATGTCTTTGTCAGGTTGCTCTGGGGTCCCTCTCAGGTCCAGGGCACGGGCAGTGTCAGTCATCACTTTTGACTTTGTCTTATGCAGGCCTTTGGCTTTATGTCCCGAGTTGCCCTACAAGCAGAGAAGATGAATCATCACCCGGAATGGTTCAATGTGTACAACAAGGTAACTGAATTGCCTTATTTTGGGATCACCTTAATTTTGGAGTTAAGAAATTTCTTTCTTCCTTTCTTGCTTGTCATCCTATGCAGCTAAGTGTCATTGTGCTTAGGGAAATACTCTTATTCTTTCTCTCAGAATCCCTGTGTATTACTGCAGATTGGTAACAAATTTCACATCTACTCAAAAGAACAGTCACTAAGCTCCTTATTTTCATGCTTGTCTTCTACTGAAACTATGGAAAGCAGGCCAGATTAGACCTCTGCGTTAAGCTTGAATATCAGTCCTGTAGATAACATTTTTTAAACTCTCTTAAGGTAAATTATTGAAAGAAATGGTAGCAAATCAGAAAGATATGGGTTTTTTATCTCATTGAAATCAGTTTGTTCAAGTAAATTCTCTCAGTGGGAACTGACCTTCTTAACAGCAGGGGGCACAGTGAGAAGACTCAGGCTTGCCCCCAGAATGTCCTTACCTTCATAGTCATGCCATGTGGAATTTCTTATCATCTACATTTCTGTGAGGTTCTCTTGTCTCTTGAAAGTCCTCTTTGAAAAATTAACATTTCATATTTTTGTGATTTACTGCAATAATGCAGAGGATGCAGGTACCAGCATAAGCTTTTATTTCCTAGCTGCCTCTCTTCACCCATAATTTCCCTTTTGCTTATTAATTGGTTTGTCAAGAGGCAACAGTCTGTTCCTCCACTGCCCTCCCCAACTTCTCTAATTTGGAAATGGGCTTTTTTTTTTTTAACATGGTTGCTAAGGTATTACATTTGATAGCTTAGTTTTTCTCAGTGACCTGAAAAGAGTGTAATTAAAGTAATGGGAGTTAAAATGGAACCTCAGCCTCTCTCTCTCTCTCTCTCTTTTTCCCTCCAAGAGTCAAGATTTGAGATTCTGGCAGCTCATTTGCCCCTCTTATTTTTCATATTTTTGTGATTTACTGCAATAATGCAGAGGATGCAGGTACCAGCATAAGCTTTTATTTCCTAGCTGCCTCTCTTCACCCATAATTTCCCTTTTGCTTATTAATTGGTTTGTCAAGAGGCAACAGTCTGTTCCTCCACTGCCCTCCCCAACTTCTCTAATTTGGAAATGGGCTTTTTTTTTTTTAACATGGTTGCTAAGGTATTACATTTGATAGCTTAGTTTTTCTCAGTGACCTGAAAAGAGTGTAATTAAAGTAATGGGAGTTAAAATGGAACCTCAGCCTCTCTCTCTCTCTCTCTCTTTTTCCCCCCAAGAGTCAAGATTTGAGATTCTGGCAGCTCATTTGCCCCTCTTATGAGAGAACCTTTTTATCCCTGGGTGGCTGCTGAGCTCAGCCCGGAGTTTACTGGGTTTTGGAAATGCATTGCTTATTCATAATGTAGTATTTTCTAAATCATTTAATCTCCCCAATTCTCAAAGATAAATATTGAGTAATAGATTGATTTCTGAACTACCAAAGGAGAGTACCATGAATTGCAGCTCAGCGTTTTAAAAACTGTTTCTTTTTTTCTTAGGTCCAGATAACGCTCACATCGCATGACTGTGGGGGACTGACCAAAAGAGATGTGAAACTGGCCAAGTTTATTGAAAAAGCAGCTGCTTCTCTGTGACTCCTTCTAAAATGCATGTAGAATCTTACATACACATCTAGCTGCAATGGACTTTGAAGGCAGTTTATATGAATAAATTAAGTTATAAATTTAGTTCACCTTTTGAACTATCACATTTTGTAAAATCAGTGCTTAAATAAAAATGATTTAAACTTGAGGTTGAGGTATTTTTCATTATATCTAATCACATATATAAGGTAAATCAACCCAGGTAATTCTATTAATATAAAAAAGACAAGTAACATTCTTAGAGATTAGAAATGGATATGCAGGAGCATTCTCATATCTGCAGGATTCTCATATGGGTGAGCATTTTATATCCCAGAAATTCAAGTGATTATGGTGACTTTACAAATGCATTGTATTGGAAAGCACTTGTAAGGTAGAAAAAGAATGATGACTCTATAGTAAAGGGTTTAACTGTATGTAAGGATTCTCATGACACTAATTGATTTGGAGTTTACCTGTTGTTGCTACTTAAGTCGTTAATGAAGTTACAGAGATTACATAAATTGGTTGAGCTGTCTGTGTTTTACCCTTCCTTTTCAGATAGGGAGAAAGGAGAAGACAAGTGTCTTGTTCATGGCTTCCAGCAAGGTGAGGCAATAAAAGGATTCACTGTCATAGTGACCAGCTTGCCACGTCATTAGCTAACATACTGAGGGAAGAGGAACCAAGGGTCATTTTTTTCCCATCGTTTGCATGTTGTAACCCCTGACCTGAGAGTCTATAGCTCCTGAGCTTGAAGCTACTGGGGTATTATCCAGTTACAAGCTCTATTTATTCCATGTGTCACTGATGGGAGTAAAATGGAATATAAAGTAAGCTATTGCTTAAAAATTGCAGTAACTATTCTTTGAATGAACTCAGGAATGCAGTTATTAATGAGATCAAAATATAGATTAAAAGAATGTGTATGTATCCATCCAAAGAACATGTCTTATAGTAGTAGGATTTAACAAGGATCATCTTTATATTCTGCCTCACATCAGAGGCCAGAAAAATCACTTTATGTTACAAGCAAAGCTTCACCCCTGACCCCCGACAGCCCTCACCCCTAGTCTGAGAAGCCATATGGGAACATGACAAGGAGGCTGAGCTCTCTGAAGTCAATTTTTGGCTGGTTCTGTTTGCCTAGGAGAGGCAGCTATGTTCATTTTGCTCTGTAGGTATGGAGTGTACATGGGCGGGGGGTATGGAAGTGGAAGAGCCACTCAGGCCCTGTGGCTGCTGGGAGATCCAGAGCATGGATCTTGTACGTACTTGGAAATTTTAAGAGTAAAAGGCAAAGTCATATGTTTTTATAAACTATTTCCTGCACTGTAGATTTGGGAGCTTTTGTACCTTTTATTACCAACGATTTCTAGATCAGTGCATCAAATTTCTTTACATAAATTTTTATACATGAAAAAATTTAAATGTATTTTAAAATAAATAGTCCATTCAAACCTTATGTACTGATCACCCTGATTTTTATACATGAAAAAATTTAAATGTATTTTAAAATAAATAGTCCATTCAAACCTTATGTACTGATCACCCTGATTTAACAGTTAGCCAAATCTTGCCAGTTACTTCATATAGTCTCCCATTTCCTTTTTCTTTGCTTAAGTATTTAAAAGCAAATCCCAGATAGCATGTCATTTTATCCCTACATCCTCTAGTAAACATCCTAGAAAATATGGTCATTTTTAAATAGAAACCAAAATGCACTTATCACACCTAAAAAAATAAAACCATAATTTCTTGGTATTACCTAATACCTGGGCAAAATCAATTTGTCTTGAAGGTCAAGAATGTCTTTGGACAGTAATTTTGTCCTAATCAGGATCCACATGACGTCTACCCATCACATCTGGTTGCTGTGTCTCTTTAAGCTTTCATCTAGAGCTAGGAAGCGCCCTGCCCTTAGTTCCCTCTATGTCACTGACCTCCTGTAAGACCTGGGTCCTCTAGAGTAGTCAACCTCCTGGATTTGTTTATTTGCTCCCTTGTGGTGTCATTTAACTTGTTTCGCTGTTCCTTGAATGGAAACCTTTCACCATATTTTGAATGTAAGTCTGAGAGGCTAAACTATTAACCTATATAGTGCATAAACTATAACTGCTATGATCAGGACCTGAGAATGTAGCTAGTAATTGGCGTCTATGTGAGGGTTTGACATAAGGTCCATGTTAAGGGATGTCACATCTGTTGGAACTCTTGAACTTTAGAGAATCAAAGTCTCATATCACAAGTCTATGAAAATACTCCCTGGGGTAAATTCCAACAGGACAAATCCCAGATTTGCTCAAAGTAACTGACATTTCAACTTAAAGGAGACATTGTCAAAGTTGGAGGCCCCCAAGTTTTCTTCTGTTCCAAATCTTTGTGATGACAGTGGTTTCTCTGCTATGTCAAGCTTTGGTTTCCCTCGGTTTTTTTTTTTTAATGATCACTGGAGTAAAGGGGGGGGGGTTAAATAGACATGACCTATGACCCTTTGCATGACCTCCATAGATAATAAATTAGGGCTAGGATGTTTGACGGTGTTCTTTTCTAAAATGAAGTTAGTGAAGTTTTGAAAATTGTGATTACTGACATTATTAGGATTTAGGAAGTCTTTAGATAAATAGGATAAGCATGATTCTTTATGTTTTTGCTTGAGCCAAAAAAGCATAGCACATATGTTTTATATGGACACATTCCTAACTTCCATCAGTGTACTGAAGTATTAGACTACTAATGTGGAGCAGTCTGTATAATTTCTAATCCAGTGTTCAAAAATATACTGGTTGAACTCAGTAACTTTCAGTTCTATAAAGTTTCCTGCAAAACAGCAGGAACTGTAATAGGGTTTGGATGTAATATGTGAGCTCTGTGCTTCAGTTCCAGTTACATGGAGTTAGGAATGACTTGGCTAGAAGACTTTGGGTCAACAAGCTGCTGTGCCTTCTGACTGTCCCTGGCTGAGGTGCTGACTGTGCAGCTGAGGTGGTGCTGTGCAAGTCAGGCAGAGGGTAAGTTGCTGCTAACAGGGCAGAAGAGGTGGCCCTTTAGCTTCTCATCCCCAGGTATTTATCCTGCCCACCTATCCATGAAGGTGATTTCAGTAGGCCGCGAGAAGCTGGTCACCTTTGGTTCCACTCATCAGCTGGAGTTCCAGTCCCAGACCAGGTTTCATCGTCAGTGACTCTAGAAACCATATTCAGCTTTGGTTGGCTGATGTCATATACCAAGATCAACTGGTCTCTTCTTGAATGCTTCCAGCCTGCCATCTTTCCTTACCCCTCCAAGCATCATGGGAGAATTTTTTATATTCTTTTATATTCTTTATATATATATCTTTTATATTCTTTAAAAAAATATTTATTTGGGGGGGCAGTGTCATGTTGTTGCGTCACACGGGCTCTTTCATGGTGGCACATGGAATTTCTAGTGGTATCTGCTCAGTAGTTGCAGCCAGCAGGCTTAGCTCCCCCATGACATGTGGGGATCTTAGTTCCCCAACCAAGGATCGAACTCACATTCCCTGTATTGCAAGGTGGATTCTTAACCACTGGACCACCAGGGAAGCCCAAGAATCTTTTACATTCTTAGTCTTTTCTTCATTTCTCCCTAAAGTGTGCTTTGGTGCTTAAAGACTGGATGCATAGGAGTATATTCTTGGGGTTCCTGGAAATAAAATTCCTCTATGCTCAGCTACTTGAGTGAGCATAAGGATCCCTGAGGACATTCGTTTGTGTATCCATGTAGCATACATTACCGAGGGCCTCCTGAGTGCCTGGATGGAATTAGACACACTGATGTATTGAGGCATGTGGAAACAGAGACGGAGAACTGATTCAGCAGCTCTTCCAGGAGACCACTGTGGGTGTAGGCAGAAGCCCAGAAGGTGTTGGGGGCGTATGATCAAAGGAGGCAGTAGGAGGCATCAGAGAAGCTTGACTCCTGAGGAAGAGAATGTAGAATAAGAAGGTGAGGCCAAAGTGTGAGTCCTGAGAACATAAATCAGTGTTTCTTAAAGCTTTGCTATTGATGATTTTAAGTGGAGAGACTGAGTAGGTAAGATGTTATTTCCCAGTTCAGTATTCTGCTTGCCTCCAAGAGTATTTTTCTACGAGAAATAGTTGAAAACACTTGTTCCAGAATACTTCGGATGTTGGAGGTGGTGAGGTGTTTTCCTCCTTCTATTATGGTCCGAGAAATAAAGTTTCCAGGAATTTGACCAATTTGGCTAACTAACCATTTAATTCAATACAGGACTACCCAGAAACCTATGTATTGATTCGCCTTGGAAGTCAAAGGAGGTAGGAATAGGAGAATGAGAAGAATATATTCATCCCAAGAATTGAACAGAGGAATAGTGCCTGTTGCTCTTGAACCTAAAACATTTCTACCCCAAGACTCTTCCCTTACACTCTTTAGGTGGTTGATATGTGTACATTTTGGGTCCCCAGTTAGCCAGTGTTGGGCATGGATAACCTCTGCACCTCCTGTTTCTTGTGTTCTAGCCCCAAACCCATCAGAATCTTTCCTTGTCCTTCCATCCAAGAATCTTTTACATTCTTAGTCTTTTCTTCATTTCTCCCTAAAGTGTGCTTTGGTGCTTAAAGACTGGATGCATAGGAGTATATTCTTGGGGTTCCTGGAAATAAAATTCCTCTATGCTCAGCTACTTGAGTGAGCGTAAGGATCCCTGAGGACATTCGTTTGTGTATCCATGTAGCATACATTACTGAGGGCCTCCTGAGTGCCTGAATGGAATTAGACGCACTGATGTATTGAGGCATGTGGAAACAGAGATGGAGAACTGATTCAGCAGCTCTTCCAGGAGACCACTGTGGGTGTAGGCAGAAGCCCAGAAGGTGTTGGGGGCGTATGATCAAAGGAGGCAGTAGGAGGCATCAGAGAAGCTTGACTCCTGAGGAAGAGAATGTAGAATAAGAAGGTGAGGCCAAAGTGTGAGTCCTGAGAACATAAATCAGTGTTTCTTAAAGCTTTGCTATTGATGATTTTAAGTGGAGAGACTGAGTAGGTAAGATGTTATTTCCCAGTTCAGTATTCTGCTTGCCTCCAAGAGTATTTTTCTACGAGAAATAGTTGAAAACACTTGTTCCAGAATACTTCGGATGTTGGAGGTGGTGAGGTGTTTTCCTCCTTCTATTATGGTCCGAGAAATAAAGTTTCCAGGAATTTGACCAATTTGGCTAACTAACCATTTAATTCAATACAGGACTACCCAGAAACCTATGTATTGATTCGCCTTGGAAGTCAAAGGAGGTAGGAATAGGAGAATGAGAAGAATATATTCATCCCAAGAATTGAACAGAGGAATAGTGCCTGTTGCTCTTGAACCTAAAACATTTCTACCCCAAGACTCTTCCCTTACACTCTTTAGGTGGTTGATATGTGTACATTTTGGGTCCCCAGTTAGCCAGTGTTGGGCATGGATAACCTCTGCACCTCCTGTTTCTTGTGTTCTAGCCCCAAACCCATCAGAATCTTTCCTTGTCCTTCCAGATGTCTCCAGTGCTGTGCCCTGGCTGTGCACTCTTGCTCTTAGAAGCCCAGAGAATTTTGCTTTCCCCTCTTCTATGACCCTTGACCCATTCGACCCATTCTAACACATTATTAAGGGCCTCTGTCAGATGAGGGCACTTCCTGAAGAAGGAAGGCTCTTGTCTGGCCTGTTTCTGTTGTCTTCTAGTTTTATCCCAGAGCTTCGCAATTGCAGGGTGCTCTTGACTCTTCTCCCTGGAGAAGGGAATGGCAACCTGCTCCAGTATTCTTGCCTGGAGAATCCTATGGACAGAGGAGAGCCTGGTGGGCTGCAGTCCATGGGATCACAAAGAGTCAGACACGACTGAGCGACTTTCACTCACTCACTCACTCACTCATGACTTATGCTGAACGGAGGTGCTTGGTCTCCTTGGGAAGAGAGGATATGTGGGTAAAACCGTGGGGAGTTCTCCCCTACAGGGGCCTGCTGGCTAATAGCATACTGGGCTGTAAAGAGTGACCTCATAAAGCAAGGATTCCCTCTGTGGACCCTTTTCTGTGACCTTGTGGAATCTAGATGCGAGGAGATTCCTAAGCAGAGATTTTCTGTTGAATGGTTAAAGCGAGGAATAAAAATTGAAAATTTGGAAAATGTCTCAGCACTTTTATCAGCAGGACCATGCAAGAATCCTTTCTAACTCACTGTTCGAGAATGCGTCACAGATGTTCTATGAGAAATTATGGAAATTTCAGTAAATATTCTTTATTTCTCTTGCTTAACAAATATGCAGATGGCAGTGTTGGGGCTCTTAGCCTCTTCTCATAGGCAAGGGACTACTTCCCAAGCTGAGGGACTCATCCTAGATAATCTGATTTCTCCGACTGGTGAGGTTGTTGAAGTCTCGGCCAAACAATTTTCTCAGCTTTACTGTCACAGTTGGCTGGTTAATCAGATATTCAGTCACACTCTTATTTGACCTGTAGACCAAATGACTAGTTTGTTCCATCTTTTCCTTTTTTGTCCAACACTGTGTTAGATAATTTGAGGGCTTTTTTTGGTTTTGTTTTGGTAATAGACATGATCTCAAATCAGCTAATGGAAATTATATATTTTATTTTTATAGGTTATAGAAGTATATACATTCTATAGTTTTTTTTACTGTGTGAGACTGTTCATTTGTTACATGAGGAAAATTGAAAAACACAGATAAATATAAACAGGAAAAAGAATTACCTGTAACTTTACCATCAATAGGCAGACACTGGCAATATTTTGGCATATTTCATGCTGAATTTTTTTCTACCTGCTTTGCACAGTTGAGATAATTTTAAGTAGAGAATTTTTATATTGCATTGTTTCTATGTTTTGCTATCCAGTAGGTCATAAGCATTTTTCTAAATCATGAAAAATATGTAGACATGTGGTATCTGTGCAATATTCCATTAGCTGGATGTGCCATAGTTTACTCAACCTGTCTTCTTTTGGTTAGAATTTTCAATTGTATCCAAGTTCTTATTACAGCAAATAATGATGAGATAAACACATTAGGCTAAAGTCACAGCATGTCCAATTGTATTCTCTTGGGGTAGATTCCTTGGGTCTGAGGATATGAACACAACTAATGTTTTTCAGAAAAAGTGGTCAGTTTACATTTCCCTGGCAGTTTATGATAGTGTTCCATCACACTGCACTTTTGCCAGCATTAAATATTATCAAGTTTAAGTCTTTGCTAATTTCATAAGCAAAGTTAATGGTTTTACTTAATTTGCACCTCCTTGATTAGTAGTGCTGCTGAACATTCTAGGGAGGGGAACTTCATTGCCATTGTATTTCTTTCATGAATTGATTATGTGTTTGCCCATTTTTTCTTAGAGTGGTCAGTTTTTAAAAATCATTGATGTGTAAGTTCTTGTATGGTTATTTGATTAGCAGTTTTCCCTACTAGACTGACTGTATATAGTTTTACTTCACCTTATATCTCAAGGGACTACTGTATTGCCTGGCATATAGTAATCATTCAATAAAAACTTGTTGAGTGAATAAATGAGTGAGTTGAATAGTAGTTAGTTACTGAAAATTTTGAGCTACCATAGCTCAGTTGGTAAAGAATCCTGCCTGCCATGCAGAAGACCCCGGTTTGATTCCTGGGTCAGGAAGATCCCCTGGAGAAGGGATAGGCTACCCACTCCAGGATTCTTGGGCTTCCCTGGTGGCTCAGCTGGTAAAGATCCGCCTGCAATGCGGGAGACCTGGGTTTGATCCCTGGGTTGGGAAGATCCCCTGGAGAAGGGAAAGGCTACCCACTCCAGTATTCTGGCCTGGAGAATGCCATTGACTGTATAGTCCATGGGGTCACAAAGAGTTGGACATGACTGAGCAACTTTGGCTTTCACTGAAAATTTGTTGCATGAGTAAAGGAAGATGATGCTTTGTTTGAGAAGGAGTGGTAATCATTTTTTTTCCATAAGTCTAGAGAGATGGAACTGAGTTAACTGAGTGGGGACAGACCTACCCTTTGATTGTCATACATATTTCAGTGGTCATTTAGTCAGCATTTCATTGCAAATTTAAAGTATATATATATGGATTAGATTTATAGTCACAGAAGTGGGGAAGCAGACCCTAGTTCCTAAGAAACTGTGCATCATTTGGGGATCTAGCTCTGTTGCAAGATAATCACACCTCTTATTCAACTTTCTGACAGGAGGAAAGATACTCAGTTTCAGGCATTTGTGAAGAAAGTCATAATGAGTCGTCTCTTTAAGATAATTATGATTAGTACCGTCTCAATGAATGCCTTTTTTATGGTCTTGTGGACTGATTATAAAACAAGATACAGCTTGTTCAGACTTTTTGAGGTAAGCGGACAAAATGGGTCCATTTCCTTCTGTTTTCTTTCCGAACCTGTTCTAAGATTCTTAAGGCATTTTGTTCAAAAAGTTTTCTGTAGAAAAATTCTAAGGACTATTAAAATATACCCTAAAATCTAAGAAGATGGTGGCAGCAGTAGTGACAGCATTTACATCAAAACTAGTTAACAAGAGGGACTTCCCTCACTGTCCAGTGTTTAAGACTGCACACTTCCTGTCCTAGGAATGTGGGTTTGATCCTTGGTCAAGGAACTAAGATCCCACGTGGTACGCAATGTAACCGAAAACCAAAACCAAAACAGCAACGACAAAGCTAGTTACAAGAGATCCTTACCAAGAACCACACTGCATAGTATGAGCATCTGTAGCGGAGGAAGCAGAGGGAAGTCAATAAGTCTTGAATAGCAGTTGATACCAGAGAGTGTGTTGCCTAATCTGTTAGTTGTGCTGTAACACAGGAGGTCCCTGCAATTTATGAAGGGGCTAGAATGGTTCAGACCCTGTAACTTTAAAAACTGACCGTCCAAGGCTACTTTCAAGGGTAGAGTTCCATACTTATGGGAAATATTGGGAGTGGAATGAAAATTGAGCAGGTAAGAGACCCAGGAAAAGGAGGAGAGGTTCAGATAAAATTGGAAAAGGGAAACAGAACCAGGAAACCTCAAAAAGAAAGCTACCACATGTTAAATCAAGAATGGATATTTAAAGTTAGAATCATGCTTTCTCCTAAAAGTTCAGGAAAATTAATTTCATATAAAAAAAAGTATAATAGAAAAAGACTGTGGTAAAATCCCATATAAAATTATAAGAACAAAAGAACAAAGTGGAGAATAATATTACTACAGATAATGAAAGCCCACAACAAAGATATGTTCACAAAGCAGATAAAACCTGTACTATTTCAGAACAAGGTAAATTTTTACAAAAGTGATGTTAGGAAAGAAAAGAGTGAAGTGATAGAACTAAGAAAAGAATTAGAAATAAAATCATTTCAAAAATAAAGACCAAATTAGACTAAGAGCAATTAAATACAGCAGATAAAGACTTAGAAATATAGGATTAAATGGGAGAAATAAATATTTTATTTTTTAAATAAATAAAATCAGTAATTTTAAATTAAAAATCAGTAATAAATGAAGAGATTAAAAAGTATACAAGAGAAAATGATGAACATTGAAGATTGGGGAAAAATGATCCCACTTAAGGATAATAGGAATCTCTGAATGTGAAATAGAAGCAAAGTAATGAAACAGAATAAACACTCAAATGTAAATTCTAAGAAAAGTTATCTGAAATAAAAGAATTGAAACTATATATTGAAAGAGCACTTATTGTATATTGAGAATAAGGACTTAACAAACACCAGAACATACTCTAGTCAAAGAATATGAAGGAATCCCTTTGGCTTCCCTGGTAGCTCAGCTAGTAAAGAATCTGCTTGCAATGCTAGAGACTCCAGTTCGATTCCTGGGTCAGGAAGATCCCCTGGAGAAGGGATAGGCTACCCACTCCAGTTACTGAAGTGACTTAGCAGCAGCAAGCTAAGAGGCTTATAAGGAAAAGAAAATTATTATTAAACTCTGCTATGGTAATGCTTTATGCTGAGTGAAAATGGGGCTTCCCAGGTGGCTCAGTGGTTAAAGAATCTGCCTGGCAATGCAGGAGACATGGATCCAATCCCTGGTCTGGGAAGATCCTACATGCTGTGGGGTAACTAAGCCCATGTGCAGCAATTCTTGAACCTGTGTTCTAGAGCCCAGGAGCCACAATTACTGAGACCATGCTCCTCAACTACTGAAGCCCTCCTGTGGCTCCACAGCAAGAGAGGCCACTGCAATGGGAAAACTGCACTGTAATGAAGAGTAGTGCCTGCTCACCTCTGCTAGGGAAAAGCCTGCATGGCAATGAGGACCCGGCACAGCCAGAAATAAAGGAAAATAGAGTCAAACATTTAACATACTTTAGGAAAGAAAATGCAAACCAAGAATTCTGGATCCGGCAGAACTGACTTTCAGGTATACAGGGCATAGACAAACTGTCATCAACATAAAAAAATCTTGACTAATACTGCTCCCATGAGCCCTTTCTTAGGAATCTATTTAATAAGGAATAAGTTTCAGCCAACTAAAATTACTAAAGAAGTATCAACACTGGAAAGGCAATGAATAGTAAAATATGTTTTTATTTCTAGAACTAATCATAATTATGGGTTAACAAGGAGAGAATATAGCACAAATGAATATATACTCTGACAATGAAGATATAGTATTGATTAAAATGAGGAAGAATGGGAGAGTTGATGCAAAATTTTAAACCATTTGTCAGAAATCAACTTTGTGGTGATGCTTAGTATTACTCTGGGACTGTTGTGTGTGTGACACAGGATAAGCAGATAAGTAATTATGGGACAGTTTAATTCTGTTATCCTCAGTATTCTTGAGAACCAGGTTACTCATGGAAGAAAGGAAGTATGAATATAATATAGACAAAGTAAACCCCTGTAGTTTTGCATTTAAATTGGAAGTATCAATATAAATCCCTAATATATTTTATCATTATCCATTGAAAAACCTAGAACACTGACCAACTTAATTATGCATCCTTAATGCCCATAATGTGGTGTTGAAATACTGTTTATCACTGGAAGGAGCTAGGGATTTTTTGAGACATGGTTGATTGCAGGTTTAGGCCTGAAACTATACCAAATGAGCTCAGAATATCTTGTACACATAGCAAGGAAGCTATCAAAGATTACTGTGAGTAAAAGTCACTCAGTTGTGTCTGACTCTGTGACCCCATGGACTGTATAGTTTATGGAATTCTCCAGGCCAGAATACTGGAGTGGGTAGCCTTTCCCTTCTCCAGGGAACCTTCCCAACCCAGGGATCGAACCCAGGTCTCCTGCCTTGCAGGTGGATTCTTTACCTGCTGAGCCACAAGGTAAGCCCAAGAATGCTGAAGTGATAGCCTATCCCTTCTCCAGGGGATCTTTCCAACCCAGGAATCAAACTGGGGTCTCCTGCATTGCAGGTGGATTCTTTACCAACTGAGCTATCAGGGAAGCCCAAAGATTACTGGGGTCATGTCAAAAGGACGCAGAAGGCAACTTGATGAGACTCCTACTGGCTAAAGATGGGACACTGTGAGCTTCAATAAGGATGATAATTACAGTGGATTTTGAAACTCACCAAATAATCTGTAAGTTTACAGTGATACAAAAAAGCTGATGGGTCACTTTTGGAGGGTGATACCTGGTGGCTCAGCAGTAAAGGATTCGCCTGCAGTACAGGAGACATAGGAGATGCGGGTTTGATCCATGGGTCAGGATGATCCTGACTGCCAGGCATGGCAGTCTACTCCACTATCATTGCCTGGGAAATCCCATGGACAGAGGAGCCTTTTCCATGGGGTCGCAAAGAGTTGGACACAACTGAAGTGCCTGACAACAGCAGCACAAGGAACTAATACTTTATTTCAAAAACTGTTAAATTAAGGGAAGGAATCAAGCTTTACTGACCTTTTTTATATGAATTGTATTATTGCTTAACAACATAGTAGATAAGGGAAATATCTCTTTATAGAAATGTCCCAGTTAATAAATGAAAAATAATTGATAGAATTAAAGTATCACAGTTTTTCAACTGCTAGTGAATTACAGGATTTAGGCAATTTGAGCATTAATGATCGCTTCCCTCATAAAAAAAGAGACAGCCAGACATTGTTTTTGCCTCCTATAAAAGAACAGAACCTGTCATCTTATGAGAAAGATCAAACCTGGGACTTCTTTGGTGGTCCAGTGACTAAGACTCTGCACTGCCGGTGCAGGTGACATGAGTTTGATCTCTGGTCAGGGAACTAAATTCCACCTGCTGCAACTAAAGATCCAGCATGCCACAACGAGGATCAAAGATCCCACATGCTGCAGCTAACTAAGACCTGGCACAGCCAAATAAATAAATAATAAAAATAAATATTGAAGATCTGAATCAGATCAAGTCTTTTCATCTAGCATCCTATTTCTAGGAAATAGAGGACAGAAGAACATAAGTGTGCAGTCAGCATAATCCAGATGATGAAATTCTACAAGTCAAGTTGTCTGGTTTCTTCAACAAATAAACTTTAAGGAAAGGAAGAAAAAAATGAATAGGAAACTTAAAAGACATATCAAATTTTGAAAAAGTTTTTAATAAAAAAAAGTATTCTAGGAATGCACACATGAGTTTCTATCTATGGAGAAGTGCAAGAAAATGATCACTATAAATATAGAGACAATGGTTAACTTGGGGGAAAGGGAGGGAGTTGTGGTTGGAATGGAGCATATGGAGAGGCTTCTGGGATAGTTGGCAAGGTTCTAACTCTTGACTTAGGTGGTAGTTACAGGGGTGTTGGCTTTGGAACAATCCATTAGGCTATGTATTTGTGTGGTTCTGTATGTGTATTTTATTCTACAATAAAAAAAAAAGATTGAAGAGGCGCTTTATCTTCATTTATGGTAAATAGCAAATTTCCTTCTTGGTGATGAAAAGGGTTAACATCAACATAATGTGGTATCAGAGGTGGTGGAGGTGATGGAATATCCTAATCAGTGTCTTAGATGTGCAGGGTCCATTTGGCACCACTTCTGTGAATGTGTTGGTATGGCAGTACATTCCACACCAGCATCCCACAGAGTTTGGTCACGGATTGTAGAGAATTATGTTAAGTATAGGGTTTGGGTAAGGATCGGAGAAGACATGAGTTGAGGGATCTGAATCCTTTGATTGTTCTTCAGAAGCCATAAGGATTATTAAACATGCTTCAGTAGTAATCTTTGTTTGTAAGCCTAAGGAAGTTCTGTGCTGTGGAAAGGATCCAGACTTATACAGATTTGGGTTCAAGCCCTAGCTTTACTACTGTCTCACTAGCTGTGAGAATTTGGGCAAGTTGCTTAGCCTCTGTGTGGTTCAGCTACATTTGTAAAATAGTATTAACACACATCTTCCAGGGTG